GTTTACTCAGATACTGGAAAGTTTTCTGATTGAGCCCCGCCATCCACACCCACTGCAATAATCCACCAAGAATGCTGAAGACCAGAAGACAGAGTGAGCGGACAGCTCAGGTCTGGGCTCTGGGGTAATGGTCACACAATGGCCTGAGGTCAAGGCTGCTCTGACACAGCTTCATGGAGACAGAGGCATCCATGCACCGATGGAACTGCCTGGAAAATCCTTCCTGGTAACTGTACTGGATCATTTTGCCAAAGAGCTGCCCAGCACACAGGGTCCGAGGCTGTTTCTCTTGGCCCACTTCGGGGCAGCAGTGGCTTGTACAGGGGACTGGAGGACATGACGCCCTCCCCCCCGGCCGCCAGCACCTGTGGCCTGCCTCTGGAGCACAGCCTGGGAAAGGATTTGCGGGTGAGTGATTTTTAAAGAAAGCGCCCAGGCAGATAAGGGCGGGGAGTCTGTGCAGTAGGGGGAGGGAGGGGAGAACAAGCAAGGGGGCGCCTCAGGCAGAGTTCCCTTGGCTGTGGTTAAATGGGGTCGCATCCAGGGGTGTGTGGATGGAGGAGCACAGTGCCCGCTTCCCCTCCTGCCCTTCCAAATTACTCTTTTAAAAATATAAATTGAGGAAGCCAGACACAAAAGGTCACACAGTGTGTGATCCCATTGATAGGAAACGTCGAGAACAGGCAAATCCATAGAGACAGAAGGCAGATTAGTGGTTGCCAGGGGCTGGGGGTGGGGGATGGGGAGTGATGACTCATGGGCACAGGGTTTCCTTTGGGGATGATAAAAATGTTCGGGAACTACAGAGAGACGATGATCGTACAATATCATGGCTGTGCTAAATGCCATGGAATTGTTCACTTTAAAATTGTGAATTTTATCTTTGTTTTACAATTAAAAAAAAGTATAAATAGGGCTATTCCCCTCCTGTGCTCTGAAGCTCCCCACTGCCTCAAAACAGAATAAGCATTTGTCTATTACCCCCCAAACTCTTCAACCTTGACTCTCTCCCGCCTCTCCCTCCCATAGCCAGGCTCACTTGTACCCCAGAGCCTTTGCACGTGCCATTCCCTCTGCCTGGCATGCTCTTAGTCATCCTTCAGATCTCTAATGAAATGTCACCTCCCAGACCAGGGCCCATCACTACCCTTTCTTGTACCTTGGATGTTTCCTTCAAATCACTGACTCTTGTTTCTAATTTCATCGTGGGGTTTTAGATGCTAGATAGAAAGTCCCACCAGTTAGGTGTTCCTCAAATGTGTGGCAAATGAATGAATGAATGAGCGAGTGAGCAAGTGAATCAACAGAGAAATGGAGGAAGGCAACTGAGAGACTCTGCCAGGGAGAAGCTGGAGAGACTTTCCTGACAGCCTGCAGACAGAGGTCCTGAAAGGAAGTGAGGCTTTATTACCAGGTCGACATGGAAAGAGACAGTCTCCATTCAAATCCGGTGCTTTTTTTCCTCTGAAAAGCACAGCTGTCTCTGAAACAAAGACCCACAATTGCTGCCAGCATGTGCTTCGTCATTTTTTACTTCCTTTGCATATTCTTCAATGGATTTTTCTTCAAACCGCACAGGCACGCGCACGCGCACGCACGCAAGGCTGGCCTGGGGAAGAGGGGGCGGGGTGGGAAGAGCCCCTGGCACCCCCCCCCCCCTTTTCCCAGGTTAGAAGGTCTGTCTTCTGGGTGCTCAAACACAGCCTCGTGGATGGGGGATCCTGCCCACATTTTATAAAATTTCTACAAAAATCACATCACGCTTTGCAACTGGATTTTATCTCCCAGGGTGTAATTGCTTTGTTAAGGGTTCCAGGGGCTGCCAGGGGCTGGAGAGGTCAGTAGAAACAGGAAGTGACTGCTAATGGGCACAGGGTCTCCTTTTGGGGTGATGGGAATGTTCTGGAACTGGACAGATCTGCTGGTTGCACACCGTTGTGAATGTACTACCCGCCATTGAATTGTTCATGTTAAAATGGTTAATTTTATGTGATGTTTATACCAATTATAAGCCAAAAAGTTGGGGTGATCCCAGCAGGGAGGGGGTGTCACCCTCACCAACACAGGCAAGCATTAGCAATTCTAATGTTTTTTTTTCTTCTTTTAATGTTTACTTATTTCTGAGAGAGAGAGAGTTCAGGGGAAGAGCAGAGAGAAAGGGAGACAGAAGATCTGAGGCTGATAGCACAGAGCCCAATGTGGGGCTCGAACTCACGAACCGTGAGCTCATGATCTGAGCTGGATTCAGATGCTTAACTGACTGAGCCACCTGGGCGCCCCGCAATTCTAACATCGAGCCGGGCTCATGGTCAGAGGGAGCGCGCTTCTTCTGGGCCATTTATTGGCTGCCTGCATTGCCGTCCTCCAAATCCCTTACACAGAAACTCTTCCCGGTGATTACAATCCTGACCTTTCCGCTACAGCTATCAGACCACAGAGCGGGAGGGTGGGAGGAATATCCTTGTTACACAAATAAGGAAACTGAGGCACCAGGGACTGAAGTGTAGCAGGGAGAGTGAGCGGATGGGAAAGTGACACGCCCGCAGTGACTCAGGACAGTCATCCTGTGCAGCTGACGTCTGTGAGCTTCGATCGTAGTGTCCTGCCGTTGATTCTCAGAGCCCTGGCAGTAGATACTACTTCCTACTTTATAAATGAGGAAACTGAGGTTCAGAGAGGTGCCCCACTGGCCGCAGATGACACAGTACACTGGACATGTGAAGACGGAGTACTCCAAACCTCAAGTTCCGCTTTGCTTTGAGCTACCTCAGGAAGAGAGGGTGGCACTCCCACAAAGCCGACCTGAGAAATCTCTGGAGGACACTGGAGCAAAGCAAAGCGCAGCTCGTGAGGCCCCCTCCTGGGGTCTGAAGGAAGTGGCTGGTGCCGGATGCACAGTGGAGTTGCAATTCCTGGGAATGTCCAAGTTCCCAGGGCCGTGAGCAGGGGTTTGGTGGGAAATAGAAACCACGTGTCTGCAGATGCATGTGTGTACGTACACATGTGTGTTTGTGTATGTGCACGCCTGTGTACGTACGTCTGTGGCTGTGCATGTAAGCACACGTGTGCGTGTATGGGGAGCTTCAAAACCAGGTAAGATCAAATGGAAATCTTGGTGTTGAGTGTGGGTCTGGAGTCACACTGTCCAGGGCCTCAGTTTCTCCACTGAGAAACAGACCAGGTTCTGCTGGATGTGAGAATTAGAGTCCAGGGGGACCAGTAACTATTGGAAGACTGGTCACAGGATACAGTCTGTGCTATGGGCCCTGAAGTTGACACCTGTGATTTCCTTTGATTCTCAAAGCAAATCCACGGCTGAGTTTATTATCCACATTTTCATCGACACTTAATTTTTTGTCATTCTAAGATCACACAAGCAAAGACTTCAAGCCACATAGAAATGTGTGGTAACCAGTGAAAATTTCATCCATGACGCAGTCCACTTTGCAAAGGAAGTTCTGTTAATAGGTGGGTGCCTGTAGTAGGCACCTGCATTACATATGCCCACACATAGCAAAAGCTCGTTTTAAAAAATTAAAAAAAATTTTTTTTTAATGTTTTATTTTTCTCTAAGAGAGAGAGACATCGTGAGCAGGGGAGGGTCAAAGAGAGAGGGAGATACCAAAATCTGAAGCAGGCTCCAGGCTCTGGGCTAAGCTGTCAGCACAGAGCCCGACGCAGGGCTTGAACCCATAAACTGTGAGATCATGACCTGAGCTGAAGTTGGACGTTTAACCAACTGAGCCACCCAGGTGCCCCAAGCAAAAGCTTGTTTTGAAACCACATGCCACTTGGGAAAAAAAAAAAAAGAAAGAAACCACACGCCACTTGGGGTGCCTAGCTGCCTCTGTCGCAAGAGTATGCAACTCTTGACCTTGGGGTGATGAGTTCGAGCCTCATGTTGGGTACAGATTTCACATAAACAAACGAACTTAAAAAAAAAAGTAAATAAAATCACATACTGTTTTCAGTGTCCAGCAGCACCTCTGCTCCTGTAGGGGCCCTGGGGCATCCAGAAGGCTTCCAGGATGGGGCGCTGGAGAAATGAGAGAGGAGGGGCCCTCTAGGCCGAGAATGGCCTACTAAAGTTGGCGTGTTAGCTCTAAATTAACAAGAGAGCAGAGGAAATTTCACCTTCCAAACTGGAAGGAATCCCTCCCAGCTTGCAAAGGGGAAACAAGCCTGAGGCTAAAGCCTAAACGGGTGTCCCAGGCTGGAGATCCTCCCTCCAGGGGTCCTCATCTGTGACCTTCAGCTTCCCCGGAGGTGAGAACAGGAGCAGTTCTGCTCACACCTACCTCCAGTCTCCTGAAAGGGGGTGGGAGACGAGGTAGGGAAGTTGTAGGGTTCGGGGAACTTTCTCAGGGAGGGTGCTAAAGCCCACAGTCAGACACTGCCCTCTTGGGCTCTGGTGAAGATAAAGGCAAGACAGGGACGTTCTTGACCGGCGATGGCTCCCATTACGGTCACATGGATCACTGCTACTCCTGTGTGTCCTCCAGGGCACAGCAAGGAGGGAGACTTAGGTTCCCACATCAGCTCCTAGGGGGCCTGTTTCACCTGCTCCTAACTGGCTGACAGACACCCCAAACCTTCCCCGGGCCCCCTGTGTGCTGGGCACGACAGCAGCCCGGCTCCTCCCCATGACTCTGCTGTCACGTGGAAAGCCCCGCAGGTCTGGTACGTGCCTGCTGTAGCCTTGGCCTTCACTCCTTCCCCAAAGGGCGAGGCACTGTCAGGGGAAGAATCAGGCGCAGGCTGGGCAGCACATGGGAACAGAAGGGAGCGCTGCAGACACCCCACAGGCCGGGCTCCTGCATCAGGGGAAGCTCGGGGGGGCCCTGGTCTGACAGCTGGGACCCTGGGTTCCAGGCAGGGAAAGCCTGAGGGGACAGGAGAGTCAGTGGCGGCAGGGCATGTATCTCCGACACTCGGTGCAGCGTTGTGACATTTATGTGTTCCCCGACCAGCCACGCTTTAAAAACACACCAGAGACCGTGGAAAATTGGGTTTCCTCTACATTTATTGCAACTGCTAAATGATTAACAACATTCACAACTTCTTAGATTAAAAAAAAAGAAAGAGAAAACAAAACAAAAAACCAAAAACTTCCATTTTGCAACATCACAAATGTCTTCTAGGTTTTACCAAGGACCAAAAAACGCTAAAATTCTCTATATGATTTCCAGTGATGGAAACAAGCCAGAGACAGTAAGCACCCAAAGTGGCGAGTTAGCACTTTCCGGATGCCTGTCGTCCTCATGGAAGAGACCCTGGAACTAGAATGACAGAAAAGACACTGTGACTTTGACAAGGCTATGCAACCGCACACCACACTCGCACGCACGCTTCCCGTGAGGAGACTTCGCCAGAGGGAGCAAGGGCGAGCACGGAGGGCCGGTGCTGGTCCCTGGCCCACAGCTGGCACAGGGACAGGCCATCAGGCTCCGCCCCAGCTCCTGTGACATCACACGCACAGGAAAAGCATCGCCTGAGTGCTCAGAGGACTTTCCAGGATCAAGAAGTAGGTGTTCCCTTTGATGTGTGCCAAAGGCTCACGGGGTCAGCTCGAAGTGGGATGTCCCCGGAAGGAAGGGAGGCAGGAGGCTGAGGGACAGGGCTCATACCCTGGTAATTCCTAAAGCATTTTACTCACAAACACAAGCAGAGAAAGCCAAGAACGAATATACAAGCACAAAGTGAATATGATGGTCAGAGCTATCTATGCTGGAGAGAAAGAGCTAGAACCTATTTGGAGAGTACATGCCATGCTCAGGGCTGATGGGCACTCTGTGAAAGGCCATAGAGGACAGAAGCCCTGTTCTCAGAGTTCCATCCATGTGCCCAACACACAGCCAATATGGAAGGCTACTGGAAGGATCAGGAAAGAAAAGAGATGAACTCCACAGCTGTGGTTCCCCCACACCACGCCACCCGCGCAGGCAGCTTCACCTCTGCTGAGGCATTTCCAGCATCTCCCTGGCCATAAAGATCTGCCGGTTGCCCTTGCAACAGAAACAACCAGAAGCAAGCAGAGCCTGGAAGAGATACAGCACAGGCCTGTGATGGTGGGTGTGAGCCCGACAAGACGAGCCAGAGAGCAAGCTGGGACCACAGTCGGGGCCTGTGGCTTTAAGAAAGTGAAGACTGGCCAACACAGTAACTCATTGCTGTGTCCCCCAAGCTTGTAGTGTCAGCAGGATCCCCAGCTTCCCAGGTTTTAGCACGTATTTAAAACTTCAACACTGCTGCTTTATGAGGAAGGGCTGAGATTGCCACAGCCGAGAGCTTTGCATGGAGCTGCAAGGAGCCGAGCGCCGGGAGGCGATAGAAGGGCGGCAATCACGCGCCTGGAAATAGCAAACAGCTGCGGAGCCCGCCCCAGGAGGATGCTTTCTGCTCCGTACAAAGGCCCGAGAAAACGATTCTTTACCCTGCTGCACATGCCAAAAATGAAATGTCCTGAAGAGTTTACACTCCCAGCCCTTTGTAGGAGAGACTCCATATGCGATTAAAAAAAAAAAGCACACTGCAGTTGGTGTGCCCTGTGAATCTGGGCAAGTGTCATCCCTGTAATGACTGCTCCCCACTGAATACGGCTCTATTATCCTGTGGCTAAACTTCCACCAAGTCTCTGGGGACGCACTTAAGAGCCCAGACTCCGTAAATAACGCCTTCGTCGAATCAAGTATCTCCACTTGTTCCCCGGAGCTTTGGTGCTACCGCCGGCAGGCTGCGCTATGCTCCCAGGGAGGACTTCGCTGATGTTGGCTTCAGTCGCCCATTTGCAGTCTGTAAACCACGTGAAGACACTCCGTCACTGGTCTGACACCAAGTGTGCTGACAGAGCACTTCTGGAGAGAGTCCCCTGGGGCGGGAAGCCTGACGGGGCTGGCTCTGGAGCGCCATCGGAGGACAGCACCGGCCGCTGAGGGGGGACCGGGAAAGACCTGCAAGGCACTGGCTGCCACACGCACTTAGAAGAAGGGGCGAAAGCAAAAGCAGATAGGGAATGGTGCACTCGTTTTCTGTTGAAGAAGAAGAAGAGAAGCCAGCGGAACCTCCGCACGGGACCTGCAGAGACGCTGTTTCTTGTGAACACACCAAACCTACTTGGGCACTGGCTCCAGGGCAGGTCCGGGGCAGAGGTGGCGCGCTAAGAGTAAGTGCTGCTTCAAGCCTGATCTTTCTCACCAATGGTTTCATCTATTCAGGGAGAGAACGATTTTGTTCAAAACGGAGTTGGAAATTATGGGTGGGGAAGGTAGCTAAAAAGAGAACAGAAAGAAGGGGATATTTATATGGACCCAAGGCCCTTGAGAACAAAAGGATTTGAAGATGCTCAGAAAGGTATGTGGCAAAGCCACTGTCCTCGGCAGTGCCCGCTTCCAGATCGCCCTTACATGTGCAAGACCCAAGGCCATTTCCGCGGCGGCCTACTTCCCCGGGATGGCCACATGCAGTCGTGCCCGGGAGCCCTGCACCAAGGCCGCTGTCGAGCCACGCGGCCATGCTCGGTGAGCGTGGGGCTCGCTCCTTCAACCAAACCTGGAAAGTGAGAGGTGGGACACATCCACATCTAAACACTCTTTGTTACCCTCATAGAATTTTTTTGTTGTTGTTGCGTATGTGTGTGGTTCGACGTTTGGTTTTGGGGAACGGGGAGCTCGGATTTTTCTGGAGAAATCGTCTCTACGTAGCAGGATGTCAGCTTAGGCAGAAAGCCCCACGCACCAGCTCACACACATACCTATTTGTTGGCCCGTTTGTGTCTGTACATCTGCATCATCCTCTGACGGAACACGTCAAATGTGTCTTCCTTGCGCTCCTGCCCGTCGGCACCTAACCCCTCCCCTTCCGAGGCAGTTCCCCTAGGAGCAAAATGGAGAGTTAGCCACGCCTGGGCACAAAGCCTGGCCACCAGGAAACTGGAAGCGGCACAAGCGGTCAGAATGGGATGGAAGCAGGCGGGACACACAACAGTGACAGCAAAGGAAAGGGAAAGTGAAGACACGATTCATAATGCGGAACACGGGGTACTCACCTGTGTAGGTGTGGGGACCTTCTGAGGAACATGCTCAGAAGCCCCTGATTAGAGCAGAAAGCCTCTCCCAGCAGGTGCTAAGCTCAGTTTTAAATGAAATGCCTGCTGGATTTCAGCGGGGCCTCACAAACTCCGGGCCGAGTTCTCCCCGGCTAGCCTGCTTAAGGGTTCCAGGAAATGGGAAAGTGGTTCTTATTGTTCCTACCTAGAATTACCACTCAGCCTTTATGACAATAATGAATGTGGCTGAAATGCCAGGGGCCAAGAAGTCATTTAAATAGTCTGTGCAAGTGCAGCAAGGGGCCTGTGGGAACAGCTGCATATGTAAATGATCTGCTTCTCATCTCATCTGAAGACTCTCTTTGCGAGGAAAAAAAAAACCCTGCCAGCTTTAAGCCATGTTTCACATGAGGGGAGCCAAGAAATCAGGCTGCAGATCAAAGGACTCAGGACCAGGATCCCAAAGAAAGCTGCTTCTCCCAAGCACGCTGCCCATCCCCACCCCGGGCCCCAGTGCCTGCTGCGTACACGCTGACGGGCTCCCTGATGCCCTTCCCACAGGAGCCCAGGCCGTGGCCCTCCTTCCAGCCCATCTTCTGCAGCATCTGGAAGCCCAGGTTCTTGTCAGTTAGCTTCTGCTGGGCGAAGTCGAAGTCCTTGGGTTTCTGAGGAAAGAGAAGAGTATGGCAAGCGGGCTGCGGCAACACCACTGAGGTGCACAGAGAGCTGCAGGGGAGGCCTCCTCAGGGCCTGCTGCCACCCCAAGCAGCAATGGAGTTTGCAGACCCTGCTGCACACCAGGTTAATCTGCATTTCCTTTCACTCTCGGGGTACCTCTGAACCAAAGGTAGGTGCGACTGTGCCACTTGACAGATGTGCAAATGGAGACTCAGGAGATAAGATGCCAAGATTAAGTGGCCAGGCTGAGCCTGAACCTGGCTGCCACCTCACCAGGTTGTGCCCTCACCCAGGCCACCTGATGGGCAGCCAGGTGCCAGCGCAAATTCAAACTGAACACATCAATTAGGACCCTGAGCTGTGGGCTCAGAAAAGCCCCTCCTCCCTGCTGTAACTGGCGTTACACCGACACCTCACCTGGCCACTGAGACTGACCGTGCACTTGCGACCGGTGTCTACCACTTGGCCTTTCCTCACCAGCCAACACCATCAGAGACCACACCTGGTTCCTGGCTCACCTCCCCGACCTCTGAAGACCTGGGATATCCCACATACATCCCAGATGACCTCGCTCAGCCTTACCTGCCCCCACACGTGTCCACCCAGCTGTCTGGAGGGCAGCGCATCTCCTTCAGATGAGCTGTCCCCCACAGGGCTCTCCATTTCACTCAGTGGCAGCTCCATCCTCCTAACTGCTGGGCAGACAGCCATGGAGGTGGGCTCTGGGGTGTGGCTGTTCCACACGCCATCCGTCAGCAAGTCTCACCAACTGTGTCTTCACCTTCCTGGCCCCTGGCTCCTACCAGCTCCCCAACCACAGGCTACTCTCGGCACAGCAGCCACCGTGGCCATGTCTTCCACCCAAACTGCCACCACAGGTCCCCAGGGCCTCCCCCAGAGAAGAAGCCACATTGCTGACTTCTGTCTACTGGCCTATGTGACCTGGGGACTCACCACCTCTACTTCCTCACCTCCCCACCCCCATCTGGGTGCCACAGAGGGCTGCCTGTTGATGTAAGACCAACCCAGGGCCTCTTCCAGGCCTCCTTGAATAAATGGCACCCCCAACCTCACATTATTCCCCATCTCCCTTCGACCTGCTTCTCCGTACCCATAGCACACAGGCCACAAGAGCCCCACACATTCCTGTCACTGCTGACCCTGCTGCTGCAGCCTCTCGTTGGGTAGATGGGGCCTGGCGCATAGGAAGTGTCCATCAGTTAATACACAAGCATACACACACTCCCTGGGCTTATGATTGAATTAGCATGCTCTTTAACCACAATTAGAGTCCACTAAGTCTGAACTTAAGGGCCAGGACATTACTTTGTTCACCTGTCCAACACTGCACGAATCAGACCTCACCTATTTGTTAAATAAACTAATTACTACCCTCCTGTGCTTTGCACAAAGCAAAAACAGTTCCAAGAAATCCCTCAGGACAAAGGCTGTGTGTTGTGCTTCATACATTAGGTCCGCCTGAAGCATGAGTGTACCTTAGTTACAAGTCACAGTGCCCTTTGAAACGCTGACAAATTCTGACTATGTCATGCATGAGAACTGTCACGCTCACCTTCTTTTTGGACACGGGACGACCCCGAGGTCTGTCATAAGCGATGCGAACTGGCTCATGAACTGGAAGACATAAAGAACAAATACATACACATACATGTACTTTTTCCAAATTACTCAGAAAATGAGGGTGCTACATTTAGGCTAATATAACCCCTTTGCCGACAGAAGGTAGCTACGACCTAGACCCCAAAGTCAGCTGTGCCTCTCACTAGGATGCCTCTGAGGAATAGTGACCCATGACCAGACAGCAGAATTCGGCCCAACTGAAGGCTGCCTCTGTGGGGAGGAGTCTACTTAACAGACGACTCCCTGACTCCCCGTGTTTATGATGAAGGGCTCAATGCACAGATCGTTTTCCGTGACTTCAGGAACATGCTCTGTTTCAACAAAGAAACTATTTGCAACCTTGTGCCCTCCTAGTGTCTCTGCGACTGTTCCACTGATGAAGAGTTAAAGTCCACATAGAGCTTCCAGTAAAAACCAACCAACCATGCTTCTCACACAGAGCACCGAATCACATCGTATCATTATTTTTGATGAAAGGGAATCAGCAGGTCTGGTTTTTTTCTCATCAACCACCCAAGGAAATGAGAGCTTCCAAAATAGAAAGAGCTCCCTCCACTTCTCCCCCATGAAGGACGTACAAGGCATTCAGATGGGCTGCCGCCACCAGCAGTATGCTCTGAAGGACGTAAGAGTAGGGCAGAACGGCGGGCCATCCGTGGTAACGCCAACATTCCCAAACACAAACCACAGGACCGTTCCGTTAGCAGGAGAAGCTGAACTGATGCCCCTGGGGGTGAGTGTGAGCGTCTCAACAAGGAGCACACAGGTGACACAAGATGGGGCACCGTTCACTACATCCACCTCACACGCAGGGACCGCAGTGCCAGCCCCGTGTGTGAGGCACAGCCTGGGCCTAGCTGTGTGGAGACACCTGGTGGGGCGGGAGGCACAAGGAATAACCTGGGCCACGGCCACACCATCAAAAGGCTACTCGTGATGCCGTTCTGGCTAATGACAGTCTAGAAAAGGCAGAACCACGAGGCCAGAAAATGGGGAGGAGACCACAGGGAAACACAGAGACGTTTCTGGAGAAAGGCTCCAGCTCCACTGAACTGGAGAAGTTCATGGCTGTACACATTTGGCAAAAGTCCACAAGCTGTCCCCTTAAAAAGGATGCATTTTATTGCTATTAAATAGAAGCTCGAGAACCTTCCCCATGGGAAAGGAAATGACCTCCCACGGCCAAGGCAGCAGAGCGCATGACTCCCACTAGCCACTGCCTGAGACCAGCCCCACCTGTGTCTGTTTCATCATTACTAAGCAGGCATTACTGCCGCGGGCCATCCAGGGGCTCAGAAGGCTGGGCACTCCCCACGGTCAAGGGCAGGAAAGAGCGGAGATGACCCAAGCCCTTGCCCTCCACAGCCAGGGCTCCCTCATCGGACTGTGAGCACTAATGGAAGCACCAAGCAGCACCTAACACTGACACACCGCTGCTGCACTAACACAGCAGCGTGTCCTCAGGGTGCTGACCTTACACCAGCTGGCAACGTGAGCCTCACAGGAACATTCTAGGGTGGTGTGCAAAACCGCCAGAATTATTCTAGGTTAAAAACACAAGACCAAACAACCCCATGCTCTGTTGGCCCTGGGGGCATCTGGGGAGGGAACATCCAGATCAGCAGGTGTAATCAGAGGCAGGAAGGATGACAGGGACCAGCTTGGTTGTCCTGTGGCTGAGCCTGGGCTGAGGGCCAGTAAATTCTTCCAAGCAATCGGGGGACATCACCCAGTCTCCACAACTTTTCACGGTCCACGACTGAGCACCACAGTTCCTCCTCAGGTGCTAAACAGAAGCTCCACACTAGGGGGGCCGTGATGACGGCCAGGCACTCACCTTTGGGCTCCTGGATGAGACACAGCCTCTTGGGAGCCGGAATCATGCCGACCTTCAGGGACTTGCTGCTGACCCTCTTTCGGGGAAAGCAGGCGCCCGAGGAGGACTGTGATGGGGCAGGCGCCCCAGCCGGGCCATCTTCAGCCGCTTCGTTCGGGAGCCCATCAGCGGGGGGGCTGCCCTCAGACTTGTCAGCCCCTCCTGCTGGCCTGGAGGCCCCTCTAGGAGCGGAGGCCTCTTCACCCCCCTCCTCCTCGTCCTCCTCATCCTCCTCCTCGTCCTCCTCCTCGTCCTCATCCTCGGGCATCCCCTCCGGGCTCTCGAGCCCCGCCTCCTGCTGAGGGGGATCGGCCTCAAACTCTTCTTCCCCTTCCATGGGGTCACGGGGGCTCTCCTGAGAATCAGCACTCTCACCAGCGTGGAGGTTCAGTGGAGATGATGTAAAACAAATCGATGGGCATAGTTCAAATACTTTCTTTCGATAGAATTTGAAGGCTGAACTGTTTTGGTCATGGAGAAACCTGGAGTAAGGATAAAACATGCTGGTTAGTCAGAGGGTCCCCTGGACGTTCGCATTTACTGCAACTGTCCAGGGGAGATCCGACAAAGCTGGGAGTGGGACCAAAGAGCAGGTACCCCGACCTCTTCACACCAGCTCCAGTGGATGGTGCGGCGTCACAATGAGACAGAAAGTCTGAGAAATATTAGTAATTAACAAAGGAGCCAGAATATAGGAAGCCTGCCTGACTGCTTTTCAGGGGAAGAGGGTGGAGGAACAAGGTTTAAGGGAAATGACCAGAGAATGTGCTGGAAAAAGCTCCAGTACTGCCACCACAGATCCAACCTGGCCCTCACCTCATCCCTTTCTAGTCTGTCACCAGCCACTCTGGGCCTCCGCGTGCTCACTGTGACTGCCTGGTTCCTTTCACACTGCCAGGTAGGAGGCAGAGAAGGGGGCATCACTTCTGCCTCTTGTTTTACAGCGAAGCTGAGTGAATGTGGTGGCGGTAACGCCTCTCTGCACTTCAGAGTCCTGCGGCCACCGTGACCTGGGGTTGTGGCCAGTGTGAGAAACTGAAGACACGCCCGAAGACACGAAATATACTTGGGCCCAAGGAAATAAGCCCTTGTTCTTGGCTGGGACAACTCAACCTCATGACGTTGTTGATTCTTTCCTAATTAATAGATTAATGCATAATCCTATCCTGATAAAAGCATCATTTTTTTCTGGATTTGAACACGATTCTAGACTTCATAGTTAAAAATAAATATGTAAAGGTATCCGGGAGAACTCTGAACAAATCAATGAGGGGTTCTAGCCCTACCAGATATTATAAGGTGTATTAAAACAGTATGGTACTAGTCCTTGAACACATGGACAGAGCCACTGAGAGAAAGGCCAGAAACAAGGCATCTGATGAAGCTGATGTCTCAAACCAGTGCAAAGATGACGATATTTTCAACAAATGGTATCAGGACAACCGCGGAGCTTTTCAGAAAAATATTTAAACTGGATCCATGTAGCACCCTTTGCTCTGGAATAACCCCACACAGACAGGGGATCTGAACATAAAACTGAAGCCATACAAGTGCTAGAGAAAAATACATAAATGTCTTTATAACCCGTGTGTAGGGAGAGGCTTTCTATGCCTCAGTATCCAGCTGCAACAGAAGAAAGATGAAACACTTCTGCATTGCCGAACAAAGCATAAGCAAAAGGAAAGATAAACATCAAACTAAGAAGGAAACATATACAACTATTTAAATAGGTAAGAGATCTTAAAAACTGAGAAAGGAGAGGCACTTGGCTAGCTCAGTAGCCAACAGGACATGGGACTCTTGATCTCAGGGTTGTGAGTTCGAGCCTCACATCGGGTGTAGAAATAAATGTTTTTAAAAAGACTTTATTTTTAAGTAATCTCTACACTCAATGTGGGGCTCGAACACACAAACCTGAGCTCAAGAGCTGCATGTCCTTCCTACTGAGCCAGTCAGGTGCCCCACAAAAGACTGCTAGGATGAGAAAACAAGTCACAGACCTGGAGCAAATATCTGCAAATCATACCTGATAAAAGACTCGTATAAAGAACATACAACGAAGCCTCCAAACTGATTAATAAGTAAATCAACGACCCAATCAAGGATGGACCACAGACCCAAGTGGGACACTTGCATAGAGAGAGCACAACTGGAAACACTCAGCACCACCACTCCTTGGAGAAATGAGAACCACAAAGTGACGCCGCCTCCCTGCACTGGGACACTGACATGGCAAAGACTGATGCCAGCACGTGCTGATGAGGACCAGGAGGAACCAGAACTCTCGTCCTGGCTGCTAAAAATGCAAAATGGTTGCAACCGCTTGGAAATGCAGCTTGGCAGTTTCTTCAAAGGTTAACCGTGGACCTACCATAGAGCCAGCCTTTCCTCTCCTCGGTATTTACTGGAGAGAAATAAAGACCTTATAGACAAATTCTCACAGCAGCCTTATTTGTAATCGTCCCAGACTGGAAAAGTCTTAATGTCATCAACAGGCAAATGGGTAAATAACGGGTCCAGCCACACAACAGGACACACTCAGCAACAAAGAGGAGTGAACTGGGGTTACGTGCGACAAACACGGTTGAATCCAAGTAATCATGCTGAGTAAGGCGCCAGACAAAAAGCAAGAACAAGCTGCACTGACACAAAATTCTAAAAAATGCAAGCTATTTAACAACAACAAAGCTGTTTTTTAAGGACAATCTTTTTCTTTTAAGGAGCAAATGAATAGTTTACAAAAAGATACACAAAAGAAAGACATTTAAGTTTATGAAAAGATGTTCATGGCACAAAAACAGACACTCAGATCAATGGAATAGAACAGAAAACCCAAAAATGGATCCACAATTATGGCCAACTAACCTTTGACAAAGCAAGAAACAGTATCCAGTGGAATAAAGACAATCTCTTCAGCAAATGGTGCTAGGAAAACCGGACAGTGATGTGCAGAAAAATGAACCTGGACCACATACTTACATCATACACAAAAATAAGCTCAAAATGGATGAAAGACCTAAACGTAAGACAGGATCATCTGTCTTACATCAAAATCCTAGAGGAGAAAGCAGGCAAAAACCTCTTTGACCTTGGCCGCAGCAATTTCTTACTCAACACACCTCCAGAGGCAAGGGAAACAAAAGCAAAGATGAACTATTGGGACCTCATCAACATAAAAAGCTTCTGCACAGTGAAGGAAACAATCAACAAAACTAAAAGGCAACCGATGGAAGGGGAGAAGATATTTGCAAATAACCTATTAGATAAAGGGTCCGTATCCAAAATCTATGAAGAACTTATCAAACTTAACACCCAGAAAAACAAATAATCCACTGAAAAAATAGGCAAAAGTCATGAATGGACATTTCTCCAAAGAAGATACCAGATGGCTAACAGACACATGAAAAAATGCCCAATATCACTCATCATCAGGGAAATACAAATCAAAACCACCATGAGATACCACCTCACACCATGGCTAAAATTAGCAACTCAGGCAACAGATGTTGGCAAGAATGTGGAGAAAGAGGATCTCTCTTGCACTGCTGGTGGGAATGCAAACTGGTGCAGCCCCTCCAGAAAACAATATGGAGGTTCTTCAAAAAAAGAAAAATAAAACTACCCTACCACCCAGCAACTGCACTAGGGATTTATCCAAGGGATGAAACTGCACTAAGGATTTGTCCAAGGGATGCAGGTGTGCTGTTTTGAAGGGGCACATGCAATGTTTATAGCACCGCTATCGGCAATAGCCAAAGTATGGCAAAAGCCCAAATGTCCACTGACAGATGAACAGATAAAGAAGAGGTGGTACATGTATACGATGGAGTATTACTCAGCAATCAGAAAGAGTGAAATCTTGCCATTTACAACTATGTGGATGGCACTAGAGAGTATTTGCTAAGCGAAATTAGTCAGTCAAAGAAAGACAAATATCATGACTTCACTCATATGAGGAATTTAAAATACAAAACAGATGAACAAAAGTGAAGGGAAGCAAAAATAATATAAAAACAGGAAGGGGGACAATACAGAAGAGACTTTTACATATAGAGAACAGAGGGTTGCTGGAGAGATTGTGGGAGGGGGGATGGGCTGAGTAGGTAAGGGGCGTTAAGGAAGACACCTGTTGGGATGAGTACTGGGTGTTATACACAGGGGATGAACCACTGGAATCTACTCCTGAAATCATTGTCGCAGTATATGCTAACTAACTTGGATGTAAATTAAAAAATAAATTTTAAAAAAATTAAAAAAAAAGATGTTCACTATTACTCATAAGAAAAACGAAAACTAAAATTTCACTGCAGAAATTAGAAATTTTTCGTGAATCCTACTGACTCTAAGGCATGCCAAAAGGTGAGAGGTGGGGACTGGTATTCCTGGCACTGCATGGGGAGTGGTCCTGGGGAGGGGAATCCGCATTATTTACTGAATTACACTTGCAATGATTTTGGACCCAATAATCCCCCTTCTGGGAGATACCGGAAGAGTCTCTCCACAAACACAAAGCCATTGTGCGTGAGGCCGCTAATGGGGCCACAAGAGCAATGTGAATGCCTACAGCCAGGGAGTGACCCTGGTGGGGCTGCATGATGGGAATGACACAGTGGACAAGGAGGGTACAGGCAGGACAGGCAGGGGGGACTTCTGGACAGGTTGTGAAAGGAAAAAAACAAGGTGCAAAAGTGTCTACTACATACAAAAGGTCACTTGTGGTATAAGAACAAAGGGGGAAAGGCACACACACTAGAAATGAATGAAAATGATTTCCTGCTGATAGGTCCAAGGGATGAGACTTCTCTGAGCTTATTTTTTGTAATTTTTACTTTAGAACCATGCAAATACTGTACTTATTTTTTTAAATTAAATTAAAAAGGATAGGAAAAAATAGCCTCAAAACTGAATCTCTATAGAAATAAAATAAACCTGACTATATGTCGAATTGATGACCATACCCACAAAATGAATGAACTCAACTATTCAGCACATTAGAAGTATCATTTTTCTAAAGGAAAAGAAACAAAAAGTCACCTTGGTCTTTTCTTAATAGGAAATGGGTGCCGTCATTCTCAAACTACTCAGTGAGCACTGGGGGACAGAGTGAATCACTCCACCTACTGTTATTGTATGATGGGGGCCCTCTGTGGGCAAGGAGGGGACAGCGCCTTCTAGGGAACACTGCTGAGAAACGGCTGTCAGAGAGGGTGACAATGAACCCAAACTGTGGCAGTGCAGGTGCCCAGGATGATGCAGAATTCTCACTGGGGAAAACAACCAATGAAATGCTCCCGGCTGTCCCCTTCATCCGGTCCTGCCAGGGTGCAGTCCTGTGTGGAGCAGGCAGCCCAAATCTGAGGCCTGTAAGGCCCAGCAGGCCCAAGGTCACCAGGCCTATAAAAGGCAGAACCGGATTGAGCACCCATGAAAACATCAGTGCTCCATGAGGCTGGTCTGGGTCTCACAGGAAACAGGAGGCATGCCCAGTGCAGACCCTACTCCAGGTCCCCACCAAGCATGCTGGGTCACAACAGGGTCCCAGAAATGCACTAGGAAATGTGAAGTTTTCAATGATAGTCTTATTTTTTTAAGTTTTATTTATTTACGTTATTTTGAGAGAGAGAAAACGTGAGCAGGGGAAGAGGCAGAGAGGAGAGAGTGAGAATCCCAAGCAGGCCTTGCACTGTCAGGCCCCGGATGCAGGGTTCTAACTCACATGACCTGGGCCGAAGTTGGAGGCTTAACCGACTGAGCCACCCAGGCGGCCCTCAACTGTAGTCTTAGACTAAAGCATGACTCTCGGGCATGGGAGGAGCAGGGCGAGGGTCCAGAGTTCCCAGGCAACTACTGGATACAAGTCACACAGCATGGCAACTGCGACGAATGGAGCCCAGCAGGGCTATGGCTCAGTACCAGGAACACAAGGCTCCCAGGCAGCTTCTGTCTGGAGGAGAACCCGCGCCCCTCAAGGAAGAGCAGGCTTCTTGGTTCTGTCACCAGCAGGCCGTGTGGTGTTGAGTGGGCCACCCCATCTGAGGAATGGCGAGGGGTGCTCGCTTCGGCAGCACATATACTGAGGAATGGCGAGGGTAATGGCACCACCTCCTGGCAAAAGGATGCCAGGCCACCACTACACGGAAGTGCCTGCTGCCCACCACTGGAACAGGACCCATCCATCACTACAGGAGCAGCAAACTGTCATCATCCTGCCCAGAACACTGATGTGGCCAGGACAGTGCCCTGCCCTCCTTCACCCACTACCCCACACCGCTCAGCCTCTGCAAAGGTTCTGGGAACCTATTAGCCTCTCTGCATGGGTGCTCTCTCCCCCTCCCCTGGGCAAAGCCCAATTGACCTTCAAATACAGCTTAAACTTCCCTCCAGGAGAGGTTTTTCCCGACGCCCCAGAAGAGGGCAGCACCGCCCAACACCACTGAGCAGATACTCCCCTCTTATAGCACTGAGCTCACCAAAAGCGAGGCCATGACTTGGGTGTCTCTCGGGGAAGACATGTGCCTGCCAGGCCACCCAGTAGGTTCTCAGGACACTTGTGGGATAAACACTCTCAGATCAAAAGGGCATTGGGGCGCCTGGGTGGCTTAGTCGGTTAAGCGTCTGACTTTCACTTAGGTCATGATCTCGCGGTTCGTGGGTTCGAGCCCCGCGTCAGGCTCTGTGCTGACTGCCGGCTCAGAGCCAGGAGTCTGTTTCAGTCTGTGACTCCCTCTCTCTCTGACCCTCCCCTGCTCATGCTGTCTCTCTCTCTCCTAGAAATAAAAAATATTAAAAAAAAAAAAAAAAAAAGGGCATGATGGCTACATACCATAAGTCAGGGTTGTCGGTGCTGTTTTCTATGCTGAATTGTTCAATCTCTGGTCCCACCTGAGCAACAAACCTGGCCAGTTTCTCTGCAGTCTCCATTGTCTTCACGTCAACTACAAAACAAAGCAACTGTCACGTGTCAGTTCTGAGCTGCTGCTTCCAATTTCAACTTTGGGGGGCTGTGGAGACTAATTACAGAGACAGCCCCTTGTGTCCCCTCACTGCATCCCTGCCCTTTGCCTTATGACCCTGCAGCTCTGCCCAGCATTCTCTGCCCCCAAACTGGGGCTGGCCCCGGGACTCCTGCGGACCAAGAGAATGCAACGTAAGTGTGCAACCTGGGCTTCAGAGGTCTTGAGCCCCTCCACTGCCTCTCCTGGAGGCCCAGCCCTGTCAGGTGAACGAACTCAGGCTAGCTGCTAGGGGGTGACAGGCATGTCACATACCCCTGCTACCCCAGCTGATGGCCCCCCCAACCAGTTGCTGCCCACAGACACATATATGGGCCCAACAGAGTTCAGCAGACTCAGAGCAACATCGGATATGCCCTGTGGTTGGAAGCCACCATCTGGAATGTTTCGTTACATGACAGTAGCTAGAGAATGTAGCACTTGTGGAGATTTTTTCCCCTCTCATTCTCACTTAGTGCTAAGTGACAAGTACTGGCCAGGAGCAGGCCTATTGCAGACAGAAAAGATAATGGCCAGGAGAAACCAGAAACTGCAGGTCAGCTAACCCTGAGGAGGACAGCAGAGACCCTGGGGGAAGAAGAGGCAGAACGAGAGACACGGGCAGCCCTACGGAATGTAAAAAGGGCAAGAATAGAGTGAGAAACGGATCAAGGAGCTGAAAGCCCTGAGCATGGGCACATGGCACAACCTGGTGGCCGCCAGCAGGACCTTGCAGGGAGGCACAGTCACCGGGTAGTTCGCTGAGTCAGGTCCACCCTCAGGACAGGGGGAAGACTGCTATGGGACTCGAAGGCCAGCCCCTCTAGGAAACTAGAGGAAAGAAGGTGCCGCCATGTGCACCTGTCCTGGCCAGGTTCCTACTCCTTCTGCCTGCTGCTCAGACCACTCAGGTTGCGCCCACCCAACCCCCAACCCCAAAGACTGGAATCAGGGCTGAAGCCTGGGGGGGGGGGGGCGGAGGACAGGAATGAGTACTCACCATCAGCAGATGGGCAGGGAGAGGAGGTTTGAGGGGCTTCAGAGACTTCCACTTCTGTAGACTTGGAGGGTGGGCCCAAGGCTTCTGGGCTGGGGTCCCCAGGAGAGGGTCCGGCTGGGTCTGGTGGGCAGTCCTTGGTAGTAGCATTTCCATGTGGCTGGGAGAGCTTTCCCTGCAATGAACCTGGAACCTGCCGGCCATGGTGTTTCAGTCTGGCGCCCGAGGACAGGAGAGTCTGGGTCCCGGTGGTTGCTCTCCTCACCTTCCAGCCCCGGAGCCCTTGAGCGCGGAGCAGCCCCCGCCGGCGGCCTGGGAGGAGCCTCTTCTTGAGGCTCCGGATTGCCCGAGCATACAGCATGGCCCGGACCGCACACTCTGCTGCTGTTGGCTTCTGATCCGCTCCTGGTAAGGTGTGGCTCGTACGCTGCATCTCTGCCAGCTTCAGTTTATAATATTTATACTCCAGACTACTGTCATCAGACAAAAACCTGTACAACAAAGCGAGCACAGAAGTAGATTGATTAAAACCCACCCTGTACCAAATCATTGCTATGACTGCATTTCTGCATTTCTGGAGTAACTATAAGGCAACAGGGAGCTCTGATCCAGCACTCGTTGATTCCTCTTTGGGTCCCACCATCACCAGCCACGAACCAACTCCCAACTCCTGGTGGCCTTGCAACACAAACCAGTCACTCTGGAACTACAGACACTGCCACCCTGTCACTTATGGATTCCCTTTTTGGGAGGTGACACCCTTCAAAAGGCCCAGGGTGCCCAGTAGCCCTTCCGCAGCACCACCGAGGCCAGAGTGCCCTGGCAGGGAAATCGCGGGCCAGAGCCGTAACAAGTGCAGTACAGGAAAGAGGAGGGGCCGAGTCCCAAGCATGGACATAGGAAGACATCCAATGTTGGGCCAAAGAAGACAGCAAGCTACAGAGAAACACTGACGTGGATAAGGACGTGAACTTGCTTTGTGTACATACATACACACGTATTTACTTTTCTCACACAGATTCAAACAATTTAAAACAAACTTAGCTCTGGGGAATGGATAGAAAGGGGCATGGAGGGAAACTTACACGTTCTTCACTTTGTTTCCCATTTCACTGGCTCCTTCTTTCATCTCTATTAACTCTCCCCTTCTAGTCTCTGGACTTTCTTTGCCGTTTCCTTCTAACTTCATGTGGTGAATGCTTACGTTCACTCTATTCCTGACAGATGTGTCCCAGCTTGCACTTTTCTCTATGTGCGGCTGCAGCTGCGTTCGGTGTGCAGCGCTCCCCTGGCTGCTTCCCTCTAAAGAGTTTCCAATGTCAGTTCTGATTCCCCTTCATTCAAAAGTTATTTAGGAGCATGGTTTATTTTGGTTGTTGCTAGTTTTGACTTTTATACGTTGTGTAATATGGCGCATGTGATTTTCCTTTATTGGGATGTGCTGAGATTGTCTCTGTGACCCCATACATAACAGGTTTCCGTGAATGTTCAATTCCAGTTTGTGTTAAAGAAGAAAGAATATTATTTGGTGGGTATGGCAGTATTTCAGGTGGTTTTCAGATTGCTTGACGTTAAGAGGCTGCTTACTGAGTGAGGTTCCCAATTATTAATGACAGAAGTCGACTAGATGCCAGCTCCCTGCACAAGGTGGGGTGCCAGCAGCACGTGGCATGTCCCTGGCGGGCAGTTCCATGGGAAACCCCTGCTGCTGTTCTCTGCACAGTTAAGGTCCGGCTGGATGTGAGGAAACAGGCTGCAGGCCGGCTCCCTCGCTGCCCCAGACACTCTGCGGGGCCAAGAGCAGCATCCTGCCAGATGGCACCCTAACAATCAAGGGGCCCCACATAAAGGAACACTGACCAACGCAGACGGTCTGGTTCTGTCAAAAGCAGCCCCAGCAAGGGCACCCCTCACCCAGGGCAAAAAGCAGAGCCAGCACCCAGGTCACCCAGAACCCCAGGATACAAGTCCCTCCCCCCTGGACAGCTCTGATGCCAAGTACAGTCTGAGGATGTCAGTCACAAATGAATCTCCCCAAGTTCTAGTGGACCATTACATTAAACACATACAACAGGGGTGCCTGGGTGGCTCAGTTGGTTAAGCATCCGACTTTGGCTTAGGTCATGATCTCACATGATCTCAGGTCATGGGTTCGAGCCCCGCACTGGGCTCTGTGTTACAGCTCAGAGCCTGGAACCTGCTTCGGATTCTGTGTCTCTCTCTCATTCTCTGCCCCTCCCCTGCTTGTGCACGCGCTCTTTCTCTCTCTCTCAGAAATAACAAATGAATAAACTTAAAAAGTACAAGTCATTGCTTCCTCTCAGAGGTAAATAAAACAAGGAGTGGGGAAAAAATGGAAAATTACAGACCAAAAAGAGAGGAGGTATGTCATTTCAGACAAAATAGAGAAAAGCATAAAAGTGGGCGAAGGAGGTTGCTGACCAGGGACAATCCTTAGCTGTAGCTGACCTACAACAGCTGGGAATCTTGATGCTTAGAGCTGTGTGAATAAATAACACTTGGAAACACTGATTGCTCTGTATCATGTCAGGACGTTGAATATAATTCTCTGAAATGGAGTAGATGTCATCCAAATAAGGGAATAGTTAGAACACAGTGAACGGGTATAAGCAGGTAAAGATGAGGTGCTAATGTTGAGCAGTAATGAATGCCAAGCAGTATTTAAAGGGTTTTCCTTACAAGGAAACGTGTATAATTCAAACTTCACAACAACGTGATGAAGTAGTTTATTATTATGATTTGTCCCATCTTACAGATAGAGGAACTGAGGCACAGAAAAATTCAGTAAATCTCGTGGCTAATAAGTAGCTATGCTGGGATTTGAACCCAGTGTGTGGGGCCATAACATTAAACACATACAACATGGGACGCCTGGGCGTCAATCTCATGACAAACTGTGAGATCATGACCTGAGCTGAAGTCAGACATTTGATAGACTGAGCCACCCAGGCGCCCTAATAGCTGGTGTTTTTAAATCTGAGTCCCTGGTAAAGGTGGCATCAACCCATGGGAACTCATGGGTTACTAATAAAGTTGGGTGTATTCATGCCATTGTACTCTTATTTCCTATTTGCTCTCCTTTTTCACTTTTTTCCCCTTTCTTGCTTTTCACTGGGATGAATGCACTTTCTTTTTGGCTTCCCACACCCTCCACAGTAGCACAAAAATTATAAATCCTACTTGTAGTATATCTTTACTGGCTAAACAATATACACTTCAACTCTTCTTTTCAGTCAATCTCCAGAGCTACTCACTAGCTATGTCCTCACTCTGCACAAAACAAGCACCTTAGCATCCACCTCCCTCCTGCTACTCACCACCTCACATGTCTAGGTCATCTGGGGCTTTAGGGTTTCCTCCACCAAGCATCAATTATTTAGACGGTGTGTTCGCTTCGAGGCAATCCTGCTTAGGCTGCCAAGGGGGATTCGTGACCACCTTCTTTCTCCTGAGTCTGTAAACATGTGGATGCGGTGGGCTATCTCTGGAGAGCATGGTCCAGCAAAAGTCAAGGCTACCCCACTCCAAAGGGACAACTTAGAAGATGGGAAGAAACAAAGTGACGTATTCTTTCAGCTCTACACATTGCACCACTGGGACCATTCTATGGGCCTGCTGCTTTGCAATCTCTCTCTTAAAGAATGGAGAAAGCCTTGCCAACTGTGGTCCAGACAAGAAAGTAAAGTTGCAGGGGGTGCTGCACTGTTACTTTAGTGTACCCGAAGGGGCAGGCCACCTCAGTGAGAGGCAACGGCAGTTCTGTCCACAAGGCCAGGCTAGCAATAAACCAATGTTCGCTTCTTGTACGGAGGGGGAGATCTCCAATCTCTGCTCTACCCTGAAGGGCGGAGATAACACAAAGCCTTCTTACTCACATGTCTTCTGAGGTCTGAACTTTTCACTTGTTAACTAATAAAAAGAACCTAACAGTGCTGGAGCTTAGCAAGAAGGCAGTCTTGATGAACGACTGAGAATTCCTCAAACACTGGGAGGACAGTGAGCTAATCCTTCATTTATCTTCATAGGGTATTAACAGATGCGTAAAACTGACAGATCAAGGATTAGCCACACAGGAGTATCATCAAGAGATGCTGTTAGAAATGGCTTAAGAACCAAAAGTGAGGGGCACCTGGGTGGCTCAGTTGGTTAAGTGTCTGACTTCGGCTCAGGTCATGATCTTGCAGTTCATGGGTTCGAGCCCCGCATCAGGCTCTGTGCTGACAACTAGCTCAGAGCCTGGCGCCTGTTTCGGATTCTGTGTCTCCCTCTCTCTCTGACTCTCCCCTGCTCACACACTCTATTTCTCAGAAATAAATAAAATTAAGAAAGAAAAAAAAAAAAAAGAACCAAAAGTGACCGCCTCCAAGGAGTAGAACTGGCATGGCAAGCGGTCAAAGCAGAAACATTCTGCTTTTCTTAATTCAATTGGTAGTTTTGAAAAACCACATACAAGTGCTCCTTTAAGAATTCAAACCAGGGCACCAAAGTCCTAAACTTACTAGTTTCTTATCTTCTTCCTTGGCACCACATTCTCTCTCTGACAGTCTTTGGTAATTCCTTCCGAAGGAGTTCTCAGGGAGGCAAGTCTCTGAGCCAGCTCCCTAAGCTGTTCTTCATCTGGGTCTAATTCTATCACCTAGCCACTGAGATTTTTATTTCAACATATTTTTCATTTCTGAGATCTTTACTAGGTTCTTTTCAAAAACAAAGTTCCTCTTCCATGGTACAATATACTATTATCCACCTAAGACGATTAATTATACATACATACTTTTCAACTAAGTATTTTTTTTCCAATAGTACCTCTGTCTTCTCAGGTATCAGCTCTATTTGTTGAGTTTGAGGACTCTCCTTCATGATGTTGATTTTTCTCAAATATTTGATTTTTAATTCCAGGCTTATTTCGGATGTTGTACCCCACCTCCCATATGTACAACTCTGGCTGTGGTTCTGTCTGTTACCCCTGGCCACCAGTGGTCATAAGCCTGGGGGGTCATGACACAGAGGTTCCATGCCCGGGTGAGAGGGCCACACGGCAGGCCTGCAGGAGGGCCAGGGCTGGGGCTTGAACACAGGTGAACCTGAGCCCCCCCATGCTCTTCCCACTGGCAAATACCATCCTCAAAACAGGTATCTCACGCTCTGCACTGGACACCATCACGACACCAACTTTGCCATGTGTTCTATGGGAGGGATTCGGGAGGCCAAATGTAAAGACCTACCAGTAAGCAGGGTCCTCCTTGAGAAGGGCTCTCTCTTTGGGAGACAGGCTGCCTCCGACAATACGTGTGACCAGCTGGTCGATAGTATCCACCACCTTGTGATCTGCTCGCTGAGGAACCGCTGGAACACAAAAAAGGGCTTTTCTGAGAAACACGCTGGGCTGAGTGGGGCCTGGGACAACCAGGACAGCCAGAGGTTTTGGATGGAACCTAAGTAGGCACTGGTGACCGAAATCCTCATTCCTGAGACACCAGCATTGAAAACAGGAAAAGCAGCATGGTATTTTAAAAACCACTATGCAAAATAACTTCCCAAATGATAGAAGAGCATAACCACTAGGAGAGAAAGTCACAAGCTCACAATAACTACACAGGGCAATGTATGCCTATTTTCTATAGAAGGAAACGGTATGTAGCAATTCTATTCTGTTTTTCATGTATCACTTAACCAATATGTTCACATTCAGGGAAAAATATAAAGGATACAAAACATGTCTAGATATAAAACACATAAAATACATATTTAAGTTATGATTCCCAATAGAAAGAAAAAAGATATATAAATACGGACAATTAGAAAAAAGATTAGAAGGAAATATGCCAGAATATTAATAGATGTTATCTGTGAACAGGGGATTTACCAGGGATTTCATTTTCTTTGTGCTCTAGCTATAAAATATAAATATGTAGGGGCTCTGGGTGGCTCAGTTGGTTAAGCATCCGACTTTGACTCAGGTCATGATGTCCTGGTCCGTGAGTTCAAGCCCAGCATCAGGCTCTGTGCTGACAGCAGAGAGCCTAGAGCCTGTTTCAGATTCTGTGTCTCCCTCTCTCTCTCTGCCCCTCCCCTGCTCACCTTCTGTCTCTCTCTCAAAAATTGATAAATGTTAAAAAATGTTTTTAAATATACGTGTTTTATAATCAGAAAACATATATAAATTTGCAACACAAAATTCCCTAATCAAAAAAATCAGTGGCCCTAAGATAGGTGTTCACAAAACATATTTGAACATATGAAAAGAAAAGCATTTCTTAAAGTGTATATTTCCTTCAATAAGAATTGTTTTAAATTGCTTTTTAAATGTTTTTATTTCTGAGAGAAAGGAAGACAGACAGACAGAGTGCAATCTGGGTAAGGACAGAAAGAGAGGGAGACACAGAATCTAAAGCAGGCTCCAGGCTCCGACCTGTCAGCACAGAGCCTGAAGCAGGGCTCAAACTCATGAACTGTGAGATCATGACCTGAGCCAAAGTCAGATGCTTAATCGAGTGAGCCACCCAGGAGCCCCTTCAATATGAATTTTAACTTAATTTACAATGCCACCAGCAACACAGAAGAGCATCTGTGTCCTCAATGAATAAGATTATTTATTTTTTTATATTTGCTAATTTTAATATCACAGAATGGTCTGTTTGGTCATTTGATAAAAACCACTCCAGGAGGTATCTGGGTGGCTCACTCGATTAAGCATCTGACTTCGGCTCAGGTGATGATTTCATGGTTTCAGAGTTCTAGCCCCACATCAAGCACTCTACTGTCAGCACAGTACCTGCTTCCATCCTCCATCACCCTTTCTCTCTCCCCCTTCCCTGCTGGCTCACTCTCTAAGGTTAAAAAAAAATTCTGCAAAAACCACTCCTGAACTGGAGAGGTTTTCCAGTTTGTTATATAGAGTAACTGCACTGTCCTGTCCTTGCCTATGTCCAAGATACAGCTTTGAGCGTAATTTAAATATCAGTGTAAGCTCTTTATACCAGATAAATTGATTCTTCAATTGTTGTGCTATTGCAAGTATTTCCCCTTTGAAAGTGCTTCTGTTTCCTTTTTTTTTTTTTTTTTTGGTTATAGGCTCTCATTTTATAGAACTTCTACTTTCACATGACTTTACAGAGGAATAAAGGGTTCAAAGTCAGAAGCTTTCAAAAACAATGTAACTTTTGGATCACTACAAGCATCTCTTGAGAAGTAATCACAGGCAAGGTCCCCAGCTTCAGCCGCAATCCTCCTCCTGAGACCGAATTCTATAGAGGAGAACTTAAAAAGTAACAATAGTAGTCATCAAAGCATTCAACCGAAGATGTCATCTCAGCATTTCCCTAAAGTGGGGGAGTGGGGAGGAGGGGTCCTGCTTCAGTCCTGAGCCCACTTCCGGAAGGCTTCCTCTCCAACACACAGGTGTGGCTGCCCCTCCGGAGCGGGACCTACTCTGTGCTTGATGTAGTCAGGGCTCCATAAGGGTACAGGGGAGTAAAGAGAATCAGGGACAAATAAAGCTTTCCCACGTGGCTGGGGCAATGGAAGGTGAAAACTGCCTCGGGGGAAAAAGGACTTCTTCCTGAGGTAAAGGGGTGGAGGGGGGAGTGCTTCCTCACAGGTCACAAGGCCACCACATAATGCTCATGATTTCTGGGTCATGTCCGGGCTCTGAGAGCATTCAGCCTGGGTGCTAAGCCGGAGAGCGGTAGGGATACCAAACAGCCAGTGTTTATGTTACCTCTTTATTGGCCCTTCTGGAGCCTCCCCAAAGCTGGTTTGTTAACTGCAGGTTACCAGATGTACCTAAGTGATCTATCCATCTTTAGACATTCTAGAAAAGTGAGGGACTCAGGGTAGCAGGGTGCTTCTACTACCGGGGCAGACCTGGCTAATCTCTGCCAGTCCCTCAACACAGCTCAAACATGGGCTAGGGTCTCTTCCATCCCCCTTAATCCTGGCACAGAAGGAGCTGGGTTTTGTGATTTCTGTTCCTTAAAAGCCTGGGGACTCCCCAGAGACAAGGCCCAGTGTTTACTTTCCCCTCTAATAATACCTCAGAGTGCGGAGGAGGGGGATGCTGTAACAAGGGCTCTTAACCTTCGCTGCAGGATGGTACAGAACCCACAGAAGGCACAGGCAAAATTGTGTACAAATACATGAGCATTTCTTCTGACCAGGGCCACAGCTTCTGATCAGATTCCCAAAGGAGTCTGTGACCCAGAAACATCTAAGGACTTCTGTAGTAGACAGAAGATTCCTAATATGTGCTTACAGAATATATGGCAGACATGTACACTAGCCAACAGGAGTTTTCTACTAAAATTCTGATTTTTCCAGTTGACTAAAAAATTCTGTGTAAACATCTCAAAGAAAATAAGAGACATTCCAAGAAAACAAGACAAACTAATCACAAGAAATAGGAACTTTCACTTTCCTTACCATCACTCAGCCCACTCAGAGACTTGGCCTGAACTTCGGGTTTGGTAGGAGGAACCGTTTTCTCCTCATCTTGGGTTGGCTCGGGTTCAGCTTTCTTGACCTGGAGGGGACACCCACTGCTGACCAGCCAGGCCTTCAGGTGATCAATGTACTCTCTCCCAAACAGAGTAGAGTCCTCAAAATTCGGAAATGCGGCAGGAGAGGGAGCTAGATCTTGGAGGCCGACAGCTTCTAAGATTTTCTCTTGCCGGAAAGAAGAGGCCAAAGAGAAAGTCTGTCCCAAAAGGGCTAAAGATTTCCGGCAGAGAGAATTGGTGGTCTCCAGAGCAACAGCCAAGTCCAGGGGGTTGCTGAGGGTCTTCATTTTAACACTCAGCTCATAGGCATTGCAGGCCATGAGGAGGGGTGTGACACTCTTCAGAAGTCGGTCTTGAAGCCTCATTATATACTTGTCAAAGGGCTTTATGATTTCAAAAAAGCAATTTTTGGTCTTCACAGCACCTTTGTCTAAAAGCATATTTAAAAACTCATTATCAACTCTGGGTGTTTTCAAAGCAGAGTGCTTTAAAAATTTGATAGTAAAAAAGCAAAAATCTCTGTGCTCTGGTTTTAAGGAGCATTTGAATGAAGCGAGCATTTTAGCACAGGTTTCGGTTTCGAGTTCAAAGAGAGTCTGGAAAAGCTGGGAAAATTTAACATCATCTTTTATGGTGTGGAATCCTGCCCATTTGATTATTTCTATCCCAAATCTCGAAAAAACATCAGACTTATCTATGAGGTCGAAGCTCATCTTTCTTCTGGGGAGCCGAATATCCTTCAGACTGAGCCCCAAAGGGATCTGAGTAGGAAACTGGATATCTTCTGTCCCTGGGTTTGTCCCCAGGGTCACATCAGGACTTGAGGTGGTTTTCTGGATTTGGTTGGTGCCCTGAGTTTTGGGAGTAATACGATTTACAGTGGGTACTTTCTTTGTACTCACACTTCTTATTGTGACAAGCTTCCCAACTCCCCCTTTAGATGGGAGGAGGCCCTGAGTCTCCCCTTTTCCTAGAAGGCCCCCCTCCTGGTCAACGATGTTTAGACCCCGGCCTCTGCCCTGGACTTGGGCGCTGCCCCTAAGCACAGAGTCCGCCTCCCCTGGACGGTCCACGTCGTAATCCCGACTCTCTTTCTCCAGACACTCTTTCTCAATTAGCCTGGAAGAACCGAATTCCCCCAGCAGTGCAGAAGGAGCAAAACTATACTCCTGCGACCAGGGGGATTCTTGAGAAACAGGGTGGCCAAAGTCTTGCTCCCAAGAGCCACGGAGTGCAAATTTCCAGTCCTGAGAACGGAAATGTCCCAATTTCCGGTGGCCAAAAACTTGGTCTCGGGAATCAGCGTGGGAAAATTCCAGATCCCGGCCACATTCTTTGCGAAAGAAGCTGTCTTCACTTACAGAAGGGTTGCTTGTTCTGAAAGAAGGTCCTGGAAATACATCACCTCTCAGGCTTTCTCTCCCAGTGTCTCGAGCGTGGGCTACAGATCCAGCCAGAGTATATCTGCTGTCACTAGGAATGTCATCATACATATCTGCCCTGGCTCGTGGGACTGTCCTCAGAAGATCTGAAATAAACGAGCCAAAGAAGAACACAAAGGTAATTTAGACCAGAGGCTGCGAAATGACAGTCCACAGACCACCAGCCAGCAGGGAGGCATTATCTGCCACAGTGCAGTATTTATTTCCAACATTTAAATTATGTGTGGCTCTATTTAGAAATCTGGGCTTACTATTTATAAAAACAGAAGACCTACAAGCACTGGGCCCACACGTGTCCTGATGACAGTCCGCAGAGGCTGGGCAAAAGTGCCCCTCACTCATTTGGCCTTCCTGTCTGGGCTCTGCAGGGATCTTAAGCTCTCTTTTACACTAAGGCAAGGATGTCTGGTCCTCAAATAACCTGGGCTTTTTTACTAAAACTGGAATGCTTGTATATTTCTACTTCTACCACAGAGAAGACAGGTTTGCTCAGGTCTACCTGCCCTCCCTGTGTCTAAGGAGTAAGTGTTGGGCCACCGCGCCACTGAGGTAGAAGCCACATCTGACACAACACCCCCCACAGCCGATCACAGCTAAGCACCTAACCCAAAGGTGGCAGACAGGCTCTCCTGGAAAGGTCCATTGGGCCAACCAATCCTCTAAAAAAACGAAGACACTAAGAGGAGGCAAAGAAGCTAAACAAGCCACAGTGAGAGAGGCCGCAATGAAAACTGAACAGTGTGCGTAAAAATGAGAAAAACAGGAACCAGGATTTGCATTTGCTTATTCACTGTAAACAAACTCTGTAAGAAGCCAGGGATAGAAGTGAACTATGGGGATGCCTAGGTAGCTTAGTCAGTTGAGCTCTTGATTTCAGTTCACATCATGATCCCAGGGTGGGCTCCACACTGAGTGTGGAGGCTGCTGAAGATTCTTTCTCCCTCTACTCCTCTCCTCCACTCGTTTTCTTTCCCTCTAATTTTTTTTTTTTTTTTTTTTTACAAATAATTAAAAGAAGTTAACAATGGGCATATGGGAACAGCAGACTTCAGGGAGACTTTGCAGAGTTAGCTTTCCAACGTTCTAGCTTATGCATTAGAACCCATTACTTAGTCAAGAAGTCAAAAGAGAAAGATGCCAGGAAGCAGTAATGGGCCAAGAGGCCACAGGAAGCTAGAGCTTTGTATAAACCCAAGTTTATGTGTTCAGCAAGTACTTACTGAGCAACCACTATGTGTGGGCACTGCTCTAGGCAATGAAATTATAGCAAGGAAAAGAGACAGTAAAGTCCCTACCCTCCTGGATTTGTCAGATGAGGAAGCCAAACGATAAACAAAAATCCATCACATGTAAGAAAGTGCCAGTAGGAAAGGAAATATCAGGCAGGAAGGAACACGAAGAGGGAAAGCCATTTTCAGACAGGCTGATCAAGGTGGGTTGCTCTAACAATGTATCTGAGCAGCAGAGGCCTGGTGTGAGAGGCCTGACTGTGCAGTCATGGAGGAAGACTTCCACGAGGAGGGAGCATGAGCACAAAGCCTCACGTAGCACTAGCAGGGAACAAGAGTAGCCAGAATTGAACACAGGAACAAGGCGCAAAGCGGTAAGAAGGCAGCTCTTAGATTCTGTTGTACACTGGAGCCCTTGGGGACCCCCGGGCAAGCTGATTTAATTGATTAGGATGGAGTGTGGCCTGGCAGTAGGGTTTTTAAAGGATCCCCCAGATGATTCCAACAAGCAGCGAAGTTAGGGAACCGCTATGATACAAGATGTGAACAGAACGAGAGTACCAGATCAAGTCGCACCCTCGATGGAACTCTGCAGTTTCCTCTGAACAAGATGGAAAGCCACGAAGGGTTTTGGAGTAAAGGGATGACCTTGCTGGCTGCTACTCAGGGAACTGACCACAAGAGACAACAGTGGATATGGATGTTCCAGCAAAAAACCCACTGGGATAACCCAAGTATTGACAGCTATCGATGGCACGATTAGGGCAATAGCATTAAAGGAAGAGTAGAGGCTGGAATCTGCACAACAAGATTTTCCAATGCCTTGTAAACTGACACAGACTAGAAGTGACACGGTGAAAGCCTTATCAATGGGTCACGCAGCTAGCTCTGTGACAAAGTGCTGGTTCCAGAACCATCTAGCATCCTGCCGGTTTCCAAGTACATCCTGCAGCTGTCCCCCCCCCCCCCCATATTTCTTAAGAAAACTAAGATATATAGTGATGTTTGAGTCTCTAGGTAAAGATAAAATCTCCACATATAGGGGCGCCTGGGTGGCTTAGTCGGTTAAGCGTCCGACTTTCGCTTAGGTCATGATCTCGCGGTTCGTGGGTTCGAGCCCCGCGTCGGGCTCTGTGCTGCCTGCCAGCTCGGAGCCTGGAGCCTGTTTCAGTCTGTGACTCCCTCTCTCTCTGACCCTCCCTTGCTCACACTGTCTCTCTCTCTCTCTCCTAGAAATAAATAAAAAAACATTAAAAAAAAAATCACATATATATGTACGTGTGTACACGTACGTTTAAGTATACACACATGAATGTGTGTGCACATACATCAATATGTAAGTATTTAGGATTACATGAACATTTCAGTAGAAGAACTGAAGGATGCACAAATCCATGGTGACACAGATACGGTTACTTCAGAGGGGTAAGGAAGCAGCTTAGAACTTTCACATTTTTATTCCTAACTACTTCTCAGTTCTTCTAATCCTTCGTAACGGGAATGTTTTTGTGTATTACTCAAGCAATTTTTTTTAATTAAAAATGTTTTTTAATGTTTTATTTATTTCTGAGAGAGAGAGAGAGACAGCATGAGCAGAGGAGGGTCAGAGAGAGAGGGAGATACAGAATCTGAAGCAGGCTCCAGGCTCTGAGCTAGCTGTCAGCACAGAGCCCTACGTGGGGCTCGAACCGACGAACAGTGAGATCGTGACTTGAGCCGAAGTCGGACGCTTAACCAACTGAGCCACCCAGGCGCCCCTCAAGCAATTTTTAAAAACTCAGAAGCTGAAGACAGCTTCTAAGCTCCAGTTTCTCCACATTCAAAGTACACAAGTTACCCCTACCCCAAGGACTTACACTCACTCAACCAACACTGAGACTTCTTCAATGGAGACTGGCTCAGGAGCTGGTGCAGTGAGCAGCACAGACCTGAAGGAGGCCTGGGGGAGGCTGGTCCCCCACCTCAGAAAAGTAAGTGCTCAGCACACTGCCCTGGGACTGCAGAGAACCACCAAATCAACCTCAAGGCCTGCAGAAGCTTCCAGGGGGAAGGCACTAGCAAGCTGGGGCTTAGTGCTTGAGGGAATTAGCCTGCCTGGGCTGGGGAGGGATTCAAAGTGAGGACAGGCAGCACAGTGTCAGTGAAACATGGGCCTCAAGGCAGGAGATGAGGGCTGGGAGCCTTGAGCGCCACAGTGAGGAACCTCCCTGTCATTCTACAAACTCCGTGCACACCATTTTTGATTCTGCTGGCATGGCATTTCAACTTTCCAAAGGGAAGGTCTTCAGGCACGGCCTGCACATGGTAGCCTCCCATGCCCTTGTCTGGCACACATCACTATTACCTGGATGCTCCTGCACTTGTCTGAGAATGTAACCCCAACATGGGGAGTCCCAAGAGTCCGAGTAGGGCCTTGGCCCAGCAAAGCTGGCATTAATAGATCAGTAGGGAGGGCAGATTTGAGACAAATGAAGCCCGAAGCTGAGAGACCGCTCGGGAGATTACTGCAATAATCCAGGCAAGAACTAGTAAGAGCTGGGATCTGGGCAGCAGTGGTGGGGATGGAGCTGGGAGATGGATTCAAGAACGCTTGTTTAGGTAGGGGAAGATGCCTGGGGGCAGAGAAGCTGCAGAGAATGACAAAACCTACTTCTGAAGGAAGATTTGACAGGTGGACCAAGAGAAAAGTTTATCTCTCTGTAAATAAGGAAGGTAGGATCAGAGGAATTACAGAGTTTGCCCAAGGTACAGATATGCTCCTGTCCTGACCCTAAACGCATGCCCCGTAACTACCCTCCCACCAAGGAAACGAAGCACTTTAATTCACCTTGAGCTTTAAACTGAAGAGCTTCACCTATGGCCTCACCACTGGGGTCCATGTGATATCGGTTAGCTTTTTCTTGCAATACAGCATCAAAAGTCTCCTGTGCAATTCGCCTAGCTGCCATGTTTCTCTGACCTGTAGTAAAAGGGGGAAAAAAAGACACTAAGAACGACAACTAACGCTCACCCGGCCTGCTCTGTTTCACCTAATCCTTCAAGTAACAAGACAGGGATCCATAATTCAACGCGGTGCTTCAGAGGGACGCCAGACTATTCTAAGGGGGCTTCTGCCCTCAGAGTTCACAGGTGTGTTGGCTGAGGAGCAGCAAACCGAGCACTGTGATCTTAGACAATCTGCTTTGCTTCTCTGAGCCCATCTCCTCCGAATCCCTACCTGTTGGGGTTACTGGATGTGAGAGTGCAGGGGGTGGGAGCATAACCCTCGCACGTGGCAGGTTTAGGAGAGCTGCCGCCTTCCCCGTTTCTATTTTCCTATTTCACAGACACTCAAAGAGGATCTGAGGACTGACCTGCCTTCTGAGAGGAGCCTCTCAACGAGTGGGGGAATCCCTGACTAGTGACAGAGCCTGCCCTGTACCAGGTCCTCTTGCAGGAAAGGGACTCCCACAAGCTCAGTTACTTCTTACAACAACCCAGTGGAAAGCGGGTCCTGCTATGGATGACACCATACAAAAGAAAAGATAGACTCGGGCTAAGTGACCCACCCAAGGTCAGACAGACTGGAACCTGGCAAACAGGGCACTGGTAGTGGGGACAAAGCCCTGAACACCGACCGGAAAGAGACGGAGAAGCAACATCGAAGAATCCAGTGGCTATTTGCTTAACCAAAATATCCCTTCCATCTTGAAACATCCAACCTCAAGACTCAAACCTGCCCAATCTCATAGTCATTTCTTACTCCCATCACCCCCTTTGCCCATCCTTAAGCCCTTTTCCTGGAGGCGCCCCTTGTTCTCTGCCGTCGAAGGGCAAGGTCCCCCAGAGAGCTCCGGACCAAATCGAGTGTCCTAGCCTTTCTGGGCCTCCATTTCCCCATCCAAGGAATGGGCAGCTAGTGGTGGGGGCTTGCTGTGGAGACTAAACCAGGTAAAAAACGGTAAAGAGCTCGATACAGCGCCGGCCGATGTAATGCCCCTACAGGCTGGGTGGAATGAATGAACGAAAGAACCGTTTGGGCGTGGCCCGCCTCCTACCTGCCTAGCCTCAGAGAACGAAGAAAAGGGGGCGTCGGGCCTGGGAGGCCGAACACCGCCCCCCAGGCCGACCCGGCCGGGAGGCGGCCGATGCGCAGCCCGAGGGCCGTGCTCGCGGCATCACGCCCCGGGGCCCCCGGAGGCTAAGCCAGAGCCTCCCACCCCGGAGCCCGCCCACCGACGACGCCCGGGCCCAGGCCTCACCCCGAACCCACCGCGCGCGGAGCCGCCCCCGCCGCTGCCTCAGGCTCCTCACCCGCCGCCGCTGCCGCCGCCGCCGCCGCGCGAGGCGGGGACATGCAAATGAGCCAACGGTCTCCGCAGCGCCGCGCCGCGCACGCGCAAGCTACGGCCGAGCTCTGGTGCGCAGGCGCAAGCGGCAGCCGCCAAGTCCTCTTGCGCAGGCGCGCTGCTCGCTTCTACAAGGCAGACGATCCAGAGGCAAAAGATTAATTTGTTGGGGGCGGCGGTGACGGGGAGCGGCCGGGAAAGGACGGCAAACACACCGCTTCCGCACACCTGTTGGCTCTCTCAGCTTTACCTGCACTCACAGTCGCCCTTGATCACTCCGGGAGCGGTCCGTGGGGCTGAGGGAGCCCGAGGCGGATTGGCGCCTGCGCGCCTGCGCGCGTACGGTGGCCGGAAGGGGCCAGAGGTGGGTCTGCCGGGTGACAGTCGCGAGCCCCACCCTTTTCCCACGTGGCTGCGAAGACCGGGTGAGAAGCGGCGGCTGCGGAGTCCCCTCGCGCTGGGAGGGGAGTGGGCAACTCGGGGTCGGGCTGGTGACTATGGCGCCACCCTCGCGGACTTGGATTTGGGGAGTGACTGTTACAGAAGCCGCCGGGGGACAAAATCCCCCATTTCCCTGGCCTCTGCTTTCTTTTATTAATTTATTTATTCATTACTTATGTACTGAGTGCCTGCTGCCGTGATGAACAAAGTTGGCTGGACCCCAGTTCTCCTGGAGGTTAAATTTGAGGCACTGCCTCGGCAGTAAACGCAAATGAAATAAATGAACTATATCGCTCCAGGTAGATACGGTATTAAAATAGAAGGATAATGCGATGGGAGAGAGGGGGCTGCTTTAACCAGAGTGTTTATGAAAAGAGCGACCCTTTGGTAGCTGGGAAGGATCAGAAAAAGGTGGGAAAGTGCAGGTGAGAAGGTGTGGGTAAGAGACCTGGGTAAGGTCTACATAGAGAAAGTGCTGGTGAGGAGACTGGATTTTGTTCTGAGAGGGTTGGGATGCCACTGCAGGATTTTGAGCAGTGAGGCCTCTTTGTGATTTCAGGTTTCCATTTGGCACTGAGTGGAGAATAGAGATGCAGAGTGTGGCCGGGAGGAAGCTGGGACTATGCCTAAACCAGGGTGGGTGTGTCCAGGTGGAGGAAGATGGAGGAGTCATTAGAGTCCCTGCCAGGTCAGGGCAGTGTTTTCCTGATGCGCAGAATCCTGACTAAGAAAGGGAAACTGGCTGTCCGTTGGGGCCTGACTAACTCCCTTTCTTTCCATACCTTGAACGTATCACGAGGGGCTGTTTCCCTCCTTTCCCAGTGTGGACTGTTCCCAGGTGGCTCCCAGACGACCATTCCTAGGCACTTTCTCATGAGCTCCAGATCTGTACTTTTCATTCTGCCCCCTAGCCCCGTGCCTGACCTGGGGGACCCCTGCGGGATTCGCCCTAGAGGTGGTCCTAGAGCCAGACACTCATCTCCCCAGCTCAGGGAGCCCAGGACTGGGCAGGGGGAGGTTCATGGGGCAGGGGAAACAAGGCCAGAGAACACATAATAGGTTCTGCGTGGTCAGGGAAGGCTCCCAGGATGAGGCGGCCTGGAAGAGCTAGCAGAAATTCTGCAGAGAACCCGGGGGAAGGAAGATGTTAATGAAGCAGGGTGGCATGATGGCCAGGCCTTTTACTGCTTGTGTGATCTCTGGAAGGTCCTTCCCCTCTCTGAGCTTCAGATTCCTCATCTGTAAAGTAGGCATAATGGCATTCACCTTTAGGATGGTGCCTCTGTGACAGAGTGGCCACTCACTGTTGACCCATTCGGCTCTGAAGCATGGCTAGGGGTGGTGGAAGCATTGTTTGGTGGCAGAGTCAAGGACAGTCCCTCCAACAGCCACAGCTGGGAAGTTCTTGCCCCTCGGAGCTGGTCAGGAACATTTCCTCACACGCACACACCAGCCCAGGTGCCTCACTGAGAAACTCTACTGAAACAGAAAGTCTTCACTGTTTTCCTTCACCTTTGACCTTGAAAATCCTTAGCAACCCCTAAACAGGCTCCTTGTTCTGGGCCAGAAAGAAAGTGGGGGGGTGGGGGTTAATATTAAGGGAGCAAGGTGTGGTGTTTGATGCTCTTATGCCTCCCCCTCTAAGTAAACTGGTCAAATTACCTCTAAGCAACAAATAAAAGGAACAATAGCTAATGTTATGGAGCTCTTACTCTGTGCCAAATCCTATTCTAAGCGCTTTATAGGAATTAACTGCCTGAATTTGCACTGCAGCCCTGTGAGATACATTCTCTTTGTTTATCCCCATATTACACAGGAGAGAGTTGACTTGACCAAAGGTGAAGTTAAGTGGAAGGCCTGGGATTCGAGTCACCCCGGCTGACCCCAGAGCCTGTCCTTCTCCTAGCCAAAACATCTGCACAAACAGATGGAATATTCACTTCCTGCACCACCTCTACAAAGAGAAGCGTGGGCTTGAGTGGCCTGTTTCCCACACGGCCCAAATTTGCACTCAGATTTTTGCCACATTCCCCTGCTGCTGTCCTAGAACTCCCTGTGCCTTTGTTCCCCTAACGTTTTCTGTGATGTGCAATTCTTTAACAGACCTGGGACCAGAAACAAAAAATTGTTTTGAAAGACAATATTAGGGCAATTGAGAAAGTTGATCATGGGGTGTACATCAGCAAATAGTATCGTATCACTGTTAAACTTCCTGTGTTAAATTTTCGTTGTGCATTGAACATATAAGAGCGTCCTTTTCTTGGGAGATTCATGCCAACGTCTTTAGGAGGGAAGGGTCTGATGCCTGGAGCCTGTTCTCACCTGGCCTGTGTGTATGCAGGAACAGAAAGAGATTAACTTGGCAAAATGTTAACAACTTGTAAACTTAGAATGGGACAGGTGTTCTTCGTACTATTCTTGCAACTTTACTATAAATTTTAAAAATGATGCATTTTAACGGGAACTTAGTATTACCACAACGAACAAGGGAGATCTAGTAAAAGAAGCAAAATGAAAGGAGTTGTTAATCCCCAGTAGGCTCAGGGCCTGAGCCCTGTTTCCCCCTTTGCTAAAAAGAGGTGGCGGTTACTATTAGGTGTTAACAAATCACTTGTACCCCCAAAGGCCTCCTTATTGAGATGATAATCTGTTTTTACTGAGGGTTCTTTCTTATTTGACTCAGTGACCTACCCCCAGTCTCCCAGAGGAAGAGGCATTGCCCAGGGTTACTGGGCCATCCAGCTGCTGACACATCCCTCTGGCTTTCAGCGTTTGCCTGTGCTGGGTTTCACTTGCTTTTGTTTTTAAACAACACATTTTTATATGTTGTGTTTATTTTTATTTATTGTTTTCATTTTTTTTTAATGTTTGTTTTACTTATTGTGGGAGAGAAAAAGTGCGAGCTGGGGGAGGAGCAGAGAGAGAGGGGGAGAGAGAGTCCCAACCAAGCAGGCTCTGCACTGTTAGCGCAGAGCCCAAGGCAGAGTTCGATCTCACAAACCGTGAGATCATGATCTGAGCCGAAATCAAGAGTCGGATGTTTAACCAGCTGAGCCAACAAGGCGCCCCCAAATAGTACTTTTTTAAATTGATCTGTTACTTACATACCATGATATCCACCCATTTTAAGTGTACAATTTAGGGGTGCCTGGCTGGTACAGTTGGAGTAACATGTGACTCTTGATCTCAGGGTTGTGAGTTGGAGCCCCACATTGGGTGTAGAGATTACTTAAATAAATAAAAGTTTAAAAATTAATAAATTAATAATAACATGCACAATTCAGTGATTTTAAGTATATTCATAAAGTTGTGTAACCATCACCACTATCTAATTGTAGACCATTTCATTACCCCCGAAGGAGACCCTCCACTCATTAGCAGTCAATCCCTGTCCCCCTCCCCCAGCCCCTTCAACCACTGATCTGTTTTCTGTTCCTATGGATTTGCCTGTTTTGGACATTTCATATAAATGGAATCACATACTGTGTGTGTGGACTGTGTCTGGCTTCTTTGACTTAGCACGATGTTTTCAGGGTTCTTCCACATTGTACCGTGTGTCAGGGCTTCCTTTTTATGACTGAGTAATATTCCATTGTTCAGGCATGTTACATTTATTTTATCCGTTCACTTGCTGATAGATTCCCCATCCTGTTCATGGTTGTCATGATTTATTTGTTGACAGTCTCAGGTGTTTGTCCTGTACTTAAGGTAGCCCCCGAGTGGGGATTTTGCAGACCCACATTGCCCTGGTGCTGGTTGATGTGTCCCTCTGTCCTTGATTTCCTGCAAACTGCTCATTAGCTCTGGCTCCTTGCTTGTCCAGTATGAGAGCCACGCATCACATGTGGATGTTTACATTAAAATGAATGACAAAGTTAAAAAATACACAGTGCCTCAGTCACACTAGTCACATTTCAGCTGCTGGAACTCACATGGATGGCACAGATCTAGAATATCCATAATCACAGAGAATTCCATTGGATGCTTGGTCAGATTGGGTTTGCGTTTTTTGGCAAGATAACTTCACAGGTGCTTTTCATTCTTGTCCAGGGGCAGTGGTGGTGGGTTTCTCTTGGTGCTGTGAAATCACACAGCGGACCCATGTACTATCCACTCATTGTCAGGTTCCCCATCAGTTTCGCTCCTCACGGTTTTGCAGCCTGTGGGGAGGGTTGTCCAAATCTGTCCTGTTGTGGATAATTAGTTGGAGTTCATCTACAGAGCAGAACTTTTCCTCATCCTCTCTCTCTAACCTGGTAATTATATGAGGGACATAGGATGTGTTTGGACCCTTTATTTGCCAGTTTTCAACAGAATGAGCAGGGTGTGTTTTAGTACTATTATTAGGAACACACAGATTTTGATTTTGATATCAAAATACTGTTTTTTGTTTTGCTTTTTTTTAAAAGCAAACTTGTCACATCTTTGGCCTATTGATGACTCTTAGGGTTTGCTTCCAAGTCCTTTGACATGATCCTGACAGTTTTTAGAAGCTTCCTTGCTTTCTGGTCTGACAAGATGTTCCTGGCTCATCTCCTCTGGCCTCATTT